TTTGTAACGTATATGAATTGATCAACAAAAATTTCTAGAATTGATTTCCAAATTTGGAAATCTCCCTGACTGTAATACCAATGTTCACTTTGTCTGGTTTTGTTGCAGCATGCCCCATTTATTGTTTTCCATTTATAAGTCCATGATGTCATTTAATTTAATTTAATTTTAATGAACTTCAAAAAAAATTTTTTTTTATACATTTTCATCTTCTTCTTCTTTGCTTCTTTTGTTTTTCGTTGGTCTTAATTCTTTATTATTATTCTTTTTCTAATTTGATCATTTAAAGAACTTTTTGTGAACTTTCAGCAACCGAAGCTACAATTTGTTGTTGTTAACGATTAAAATTGCATTCAATAATTAGAAAATTTATTTCTGAACAAATTATTTTTTAATGTTAATATTAGCACACATATTATTGATTCATGGAATAATGTCAATATATCTTCTCCTTGTAGTTTATGATATATTGGACTGTGTTGCAAGATATTATTTTTTCCAAACAAATAAATTAAATGAATGAATAAAAAATGGCGCCATTGACAAAATTTTTGTAGTGCGGAGGTCACCCCAATGAATAATAAATGATGATAATCATTCAAAAAACGACCATTTATAATTTTCTTATGCTATAATCTTATGGGTAAAATATAATAAATACAAAGCAATCATTTTTGTAATAATAATAAATCAATTGGGCATTATCGTCTATTTGTGATTCGTTGCACGCTTCTGTTATTTACTATCTTAAAAGAAGTCATGCCTTTCTCGATCGATTCTTATAAATTAGCGAATATAAATTTAATATATAGCAAAGCGAGTTTGGAAAATCCTTGCTTACCTGAATTGCGAATATATCATTTTGTTAAAAAGAAGTCACTCGTTGTATCCTTTGCAAAATCGGTTTTATCTTTAACATTAACGCCAAACATAGTGATTATTTCTATTCATTGTAACGATCAAGCTGCCGCTGTCACAACATCATTATCCTCCAATGAAATAATTAAATGATGGTAATTCGAACAGTAATACTAATAAAGAACTGTTACCACTTCTCAAACAACAAAATACATATCAATTTCCGAGATTACATGAACATGCAAAAACATCACGACGTTAAAAGATAACTTTAATAGATACTGCGAAATAATTTACAGTCAAAGTTTGTATAGTGAATTATATTACAGTAAACATGTCTCCAAAAAGTATACAAATAAATAAAATACTCGTTGTTTTTATTAGTACTTTTCTTCTTCAACTCTCTCCTAATTTCATAATTCACTTTCCAATGATGACCAGTAGAAAAATCTCGACCACAATAAAAAAATTATTAATTATTTCTATCCGCCAGTACTACTCTTTTTTATAATTATTAGTTTATTTAATTTGGTTTTTGTTATTATTTTTGTGATATATAAAATGAATTTAATTGGTATTTTGTGTCAATAAAAAAATCGAAGAAATAAATTAAATTTAGTGCAGTATAACTTCCACAACTGAAATTTAATTTATATTTATAATGATGATATATTCATTTATTCATTAAAAAAAATTATTAATTTATTATTTTTAAATTTTTTTTATTTTTGAAAAATAATTTTTTTTTAAAAAAAATGTCTACCATAACAAAATCGAATATTTCTTCATTGTCTACGAAAACTTCTTCAAGGTCAAGTTTGTTATTGCAAAACAAATCCAAGACTTTGAAACCAAATCCTACAACCATGTTATCATCGTCGAAATCAACAACGCCTTCAAATATTAACAACAGCAACATCATCAATAATAATAATAATACTAATAAAAATATTGATGGGGCTATTCCTAGCGCGAAACCAAAAACGAAAATTAAAGCCAAACCTCCAAATATAGTATTGAAAACAAACGATTCATCTCGTATTAATAATAATAATAGTGCCGGAAATGGTATTGATACTAATAACAACAATAAAAGCAACAATATCAATAGTAGTAGTAGTAGTAGTAATAATAATAAAAGTGGAACTATTCAAACAAAAACTAAAAAGCCAATAAATTCACCAACTTTAGCACGTTATTCCAAGAGTTTTCCAAATTCAGGAAAGCAGCAACAGAAACGGTTAGAAGCTAAAGAACCAAAATCAACCGTAAAAAAGTCTGTAAAACCTGCAAAATCGCCTTCATTAACGGATAAATTTAATAATAAAACCAACAACAATAATAAAATTAGCAAATTAGATGCAATACCAACTCTAGAAGAAGACAATCCAATACATGGAGAAATAACAAGTATAGTGTGCGAAATAGAAAAATTCCGTTCAAAACTTCATGAACTTGGTAGAATTCAAGAATCTCATCATCAATTTTCAAAACTTAACCCAAAAAGATTGTCAGCTATGTCGTTAATTAGTAGCGGTAATATGGAAGAAGAAAATAATGTAATGGTGCAAGCTGTCAATAACCAACTTTCGGTTGTCCAGCAACACATATCATCTTTAATGGATAATCATTCAACGTTAGACGATAATTTATTATCAATAATAATGACTTATAATGAAGAAGTTAATACCGCATTAAAAGAGGCAATTCAAGAAGTTCCGAGACTTTATTCTACTAGCAGTAACTCGGCTACAACAGCAACAAATACATCAACTTTAACTCCAACAAACAATAATTATGAAAATATTTTTAGTTATATGGATGATGAATCTGAATTTAAGAGTAGTTTTGGCCAACAACAATTGATCGAAACTCAAGCTATGCAAATACAATTTTTAGAAAATGCAAGTTTCAATAACATTTATCAATTACAAGCTGACGCGGAGAGTTGTCAATGTTTATTGTCAATGCTCACCAAGTTCGACAATAATTGTGATGACAAATGTTGTGAATTAAATTTAAGTATAGAGCAATTAGAATCAAGAAGTTTTCTAACGAATAATAATTTACTTGAAGTTAAAATTGAAGAAATTAAAAATTTAATTAGAAAGTATGATTGCAAAACTGAAATAGACTGCGACAATTATATTTATTCAGACAAATCTAAAGCATTCCTATCAAATCTTTTACAAAGAGTTATAATAGAAACAATTCTAGAACATTCGGAAGTTTATTTCAATGGATCATTGGACAGATGCATAAAATATTCAAAAGATCCATTTATTGATTTGATGGATTCTCCTGGATTAAGTAAAGACACCTTTGACTTTGATAGCCTAGATTCAAAGAAAACTTATAAAACTAGAATAAATCCTGAAGTTTATGCTGTATTAGGAACAAAAAACTTTGATGGATTTGATCATCCATTTATAGAATTTGTACTAGAAAAATTATTAAAAACTTTGAAAAAATATTGTAAAATCAAATGTTTAGACAACGATAATGGTCAAGGGAAAGATAATAAAAATCCAAAGAAAATATTTAATAATATTTTAATAGAAATAATACATAAAATTATTAATCTATTTTACTTTGGAATGCAAGCTCATGATAAAAGCTTGCAATTTCAATGGCTAGATAATAATTTAAAATTTGATAGAAATTTAATGAAAATGGAAGATGTTGGCGAAGAAATAGAAAAATTATCTTTAGATATTTGTTCTTTTCCTTTAATTGGTATAGATTTATCTGATAAAGATGCTTGTAAAGTCATTGTTAAAGCAAAATTTTATCCTTTATTAGCGAATAAATTTATACCTGGACAATACCCTAAAATCGATTAATTTAGAGTTTAGACTTTAGATGGTTTGTTTTAAATTAAAATTTCTTTTTCTTTTTTCTTTAATATTCTTTGTTTTTAATATAATATAATATGTAATACTTTCTTGACAATCATTTGAATAGCTGCAAAAAAAAATTTTTTTTAAATAAAATGTCAACTAGTTGGAAAAAATAAACGCGCATTTATTTAGTTATAAATTCTAACGAATATGCTTTTACCATTGAAATATATTAATAAACTTGTAAATGATTTAAGAAAATTATTAAATGAATCAGATTTTATGATGTAGAAATTAAAGCTCATTCCAATATCTTAAAGCAAAATCTTCATATTTTAATACTATTTTACAGTCTGCCCTTGTTTCAACGAAGTGGCTGGACATATAAGAAAATTTTATTCAACATTCGTTGAAACAAGGTTACTAATCGCGTTTCAACGAATTTTTTATATGATTTCATAATGTGTAACAACGTTTTTAAAAATTCGTTGTATCAAAAATTTAATTATTTCTCCAAAAGTATTTGAGGTTCTTTTAAATGTAAGTTTAGATTTTAATATATATAATATAGTTTTCTGTTTAAAACAAGGTCTTAGTTAAAGATTCTGTCTTTTTTTTTTTATAAAAGATATATTTACAGTGGATCCAGATGAAATTATTATTATTATATTTCAGTGATTTAATTGAATATTTACAAAAATTTTAATTCAGAAAAAAAAGAATGAATCCAACAAAATATTAATTTTAAATTCTGATGACATTTCTGCAATTGACTGATATCTCTAAAGGGTTAGAGGTAGATAAGATTGATATTTGGAATTGTGCCATTCAATAAGGGATTGGGCAAAGTTAGAATATTTCAGAATGATTGGAGTTAGATAATAAAATAAAAGTCTCATGAAAAAAGCTTTTAATAAACAAGTTTATAAAGGACTTTTTCGGTATCGTCTTAGTGATGGCAAGTTTGATACTTCAAATAATAGTATGTATATAATGAAATAATTTATCAATTTTGAATTAATAGAACTGCTTTGAAAACAAATGTTACATACAATCAACAATTCAGATAATTTGGTTTAAATCAATCATTTTATTTATTAATGCCTATAAAAAATTAAATATTAATTAAATAAAATTTTGATAAAATATAAAAATAAAAATCTATTCTTCTTCGCTTTCACTCTCGACAGTTTTAAGCCATTGAATGAAAGGTTCCATTTGTTTTAAGAATGAGGTTTTTCCTTGATTTTTTGCACCTTTTTCATTCCAATATAAGATTGCATTTTCTGACACAACGTCCTCGTCATACAAGATTTGAACTATTTTACGGAAATGTTTCATTAGTTTTGTGTTCTCGTAGCAATAAGTTTGGATTTTTTGCAAAAGAGCAAGTTCAGTCTTTGGATTATTGGCAAATTCTGAAATAATACTTGAGCATTGCTAATAAGTGAAAAAAATGATTTTAAGCGTATTAATATTATGTTTTTTTATATGATTCTAAAATATAATAATCATATAAACTCACTTTAACTTGATTTGCAGCTTGAGTTCCAATTTGTTCTGGACGAGTGCTCCAATCAACAGCCTGTAACAATGATTCCCACACGATTTGAACAAAATCACTTTCTTGCCAACCACCATTTTTCATTTGTTGTTTAAGATAAGTAATGACCTATAATAATTAAAAAATAGCAACAACCAGACATAATTAGAATTCGGGACATTTTTAAATCAAGCATAATAAATATATTGAATATGTGTGTGTGTGTACCTCTGCATTGGTACTGGATGAATCCATCATTTCCTTAACATGTTCAATAGTTTGATCTTTCATTGAATTCTTTAATCGTTGATTATAAAAATCAACAAATTGTTTCATGTCCTCCGCCTCAAAATAACGAGCAAAATATTCTTTGTCTCTTTTGTTTGGCGGGAAAAAATCTATAAGCTTGGAGTCAATTCCAGCTTTTTTAAGGGAGCTACCAAGATGTTCCATGTTTTGTTCGCCAAGATAAGCTTTGAAGACTGTGGTGATAAATTGAAGGGAATGTCCTATATAATAAGATTACATGCATAAATATATTTACACGGTAAAGTTAAATAAAAAATAATCTTATATGTATTGATTTATTTGTATTCACCTTCTTTCACAAGATGCTCACTGAATAAAGCATTCAAAACATTAATACTAATCAATTGACCAGAGGCAAACAAACCAATTGCAGTGGCAAGTTTGTTGTTTTCTTCAGTACTCCATTTGTTAATATACTGAAGCATATTTTTGATTTTATCTTCAAAAATATGCTGCAAATATAAATAACGTCTAATTAACTTATTGAAAACTTCAACATGCTTTTTAATATTTTCAATATTATCTTCTGCATAGAAAATAGAGAATGGGCTTTTAGGTGCTCCATCATCTAATATAGTACCTCCAGGCGCTAAAAATAAAGAATTGATAAGAAAAATTATTAAAATAATATTAATAATAGGAAAAGCAAGAAGAGGAAGAGTAACGGGTATATTTAATCTTTCGTTAAAGTCAACAAAGTCATTACAAAATTTATTATTTTGTTATTTTTTGCTTACCTAATACACCACCAAGCAAAAGAATTTCAAATAAAGTTTCTCCGTATTTTTTATACTCTAGGGTATTACCGGCAGAATCTAATTGTAAAGAGATTTCATCAAAATCTCCTGGTTTAACGTTTAAAAGAATTTTTATAATATTATCTCTAAAGACTGTTGTAAAAAAAAAAAAAAGGTTGAAATTATAAATTAATAGAATTAAAGACATTTATCAAATTGAAAGATTAGCTGAGGCCTCACCGGTTGGTTCGTGTTTGGCTTGTGCTTTTTGCTGACCCTTATTGATACAATACAAATTATATAGTTATTAGACTTTACACTTCGCTTTATATAACGATAATCACAAATAACTAGTAAATACCTTTCTTTGTTTGATCTTAACACCATGCAAAGAAGGCTTTGGGCTTCCGTTTTGTGTTGCACTCATTAAAAGTTAACAAGTTTTTGTATTGGTTTATTTTTATTTAATGTGTGAGATGATATAAAATTACTCTTGGTTTTTTTTTTTTTAAATAATTTAACAAAAAATAAATGGAATATATAAATAATTTTTTAAATTTTATGTTAAAATTATTATTAATATTAATATGCAAGTTGGTGATCGATAAACAAAATAATAAAGAATAATGTGTATGGTGCAAGTCACTTAGTCACTGAACTTTTTGTTCCATGATTCCAATAAAAAATTTATTGTCACATGATTTTGAAGATTGTCAGTTGCTTAAGGTTCCAAACGAATCAAATTGAGCTGAATTTTGGAGTGATTTGATTTGATTCGAATTTTTCAAATCAAATCATGATTTGAATTCAAAAAAACTGTATTCAATTCAATTTGATTCATTCTAAATGCAATTCAATTCAATTCAATTCAAAATCAATTTGAACTTCTAAAAATTTTTTTTTAATATACTGTATTGTTTGATATTATAAGGGCACTGACATATATTAGCTAATATTTTAGGGGGTGGGGGGATAACAGAAAATCTTAGGTCACACAATCTCATAAATAATGTGATCATAATGGCTTCAGTGAAAGATCTGCATTTTTATAATTTTGAATGTAAGTGTTTCATGTAAACCAATTGTCATTTACAAAAAAATTGTATTACACTTTTTGTCTACAGGATGATATGGCAATTAATTCTCA